AAATCTATATTTTATTAGAAATTATTTTTAAATACTACTGTTTTAATACTAATTAAAAAAATAAATAAATAGCTAAAAATAATCTAATTTTTAAAAATATATTTCTAAATTTAAAATTAAAAATATATATTTTTATTCTGACTCTTTTCTTTCTGCATCTCTATATACAAGAATTTTCTTTATTCTATTATAATCTTCTGTTTTTTAATTTAATATCTTACGGAGATTTAATCCAGATATATATAAAAAACCAAATATTATTTTTTTTATAATCTGAAATACTTTTTGTTTTTAATTTAAAATATATTTTCTATTCTTATATAAAGTTTTTTTATTTTTTATTATATTTAAAATTTTTAGTTCGCACGGTACGGATTAGGTATCTGTTTAAAGATTAAAATAATAATAATTTTATTCCGAAATTTGATATTTTAAAAAAAATTAGGATTCTCTACAAATTTCTAATACTATCGAATAAAAATTACATGCTGAAAAGGTCGAATTATTTTATCAGCTTCTAACTATATTTTTTTTAAATTCTTAATCTAAATCTAAAATAAATTATTAATAATTTTATAATAAATTATTAGATATAAATCTTCTAATTCTTATTACTAATAAAAATCTTAAAATAGCTGTAGTAACTGCTGAATAATATAATAATCTGATATATAATTATCTTACAGAAGAATTATATATTAAAATAATCATTAATACTACAGTAATTTATTAAAATTTTAATAATTTCAACTATAGTATATTATTTAATTAAATATAGAAATTTATTATAGCATCTCCGACCGGACTATTACTCTTAGAATTTTATAATATATCCAAAATTTATAAGAATTTATAAAAAATCCGACTGATAGTTTCTTACTATATATAAATATCTGTTTATATTATAAAAGTCGCCGATCATCTGTTTTATTTTATTATAAAACTATTATTTCTTTAAATCTGTAAATTCTTTTAAAAAGTTGTCCTCTAACTCTACAAACTTAAAAAATAAACAATAGATAATATTCTTCTTTTTAAAAAAGATATTAAATTAATATATATAAATATTCTAAGAATAGGAATCTTTTAAGTACTTTAAGAAATCTTTTAAAAATTCCCGGGACTTTATACTAAAAATCTCTAATATTTTATTATTAAAACTGTCCGGTTCACAAACTATAATTATTTCTTTTAATATTAAAAAAAAATTTTAATAAAGTAATAGGCTTGTTATAGGTTCTCCAAATACATCTGTATTAGTAAATATTTATATAGACTAATATAAAAAAAAGTTACTATATTATTAGTAAAGTTGCTTATTTTTAATATATAGACAATATTCTTATTATTTTTAAAAATAATTATAGCTGTATTTTAGTCTGATTTAAAATATATATTTCGGCACCCGGTTTTAAAATTAAATAAAAAAACTTATTTATTTTTATTTTATTTTTAAACCTCGAAGTCTTTCATCTCAGCAGACGGATCTTTATAAAATTTTATAAAAAGAAACTGAACTACTTTTAATACATCTCTTAAAATTTAGTATATTCTAAACCGGTGTTAAAAGGATTTATTAAAACTAAACTCCTATACTTTCTTGCTGTATTAATATATAAAAAAGATTTTATTAAAATTAAATATTTTTTTAATACTATCTATATACACGAGCTTACTTTTTTTATATCCTATCTAAATAGTTTAAATAGATAATTTAAAAAGATTAATTTTTTATTTTTATTAGATAATAAAGAAAGTAGATTATTTTTTTTCTTATACTACTGAGCTATTATAATAGTATTTAGAATAAAATTCTTATATCTCAGATAAAAAAAGCTATAATTAAGAAATAGAAGTATAGCAATATTCTATTTATTTTAAATTAAAAGCTAGTTAAATCTCTATTCTGAACTATAAGTCTTTTTAACTGTATTCAACAGTAGAACTGAAAAATTCTAAAGATAATAAAGATATTAAAAATATCTATAATCTTAACCTCTTTTAATAGTTTTTTTTATAAAGAACTGTTATTTAAAATCTAACAGCTCCTGCTTCGCAGAAGAATCCTAATATAATTCTAATATAATCTAAATAAATAGAATATTTTAAAAAACTATTCTAACAGTCTCAATTGTTTATAAAAATTTATTATATAATTTATTAGAAATAGTATATAAAAGTAAAAATAACTACGAATAGCCGACTTACTATTAATTATTTACAGCTAGATATAGAAGTAAAATTTTATTAATATTTTTATAATAATACTACTTTCGGATAATATATTATAAAAGATGGAAGACTCTGATTCAGCAGTATTACACCTGCGGAATATAAAATCCAGTTTCGGCTGGATAATTTTTTTAATAAGCGTACTGTTTAATTTATTATAATACAAATCCTATATAATCGAATAGATAAATATACTGAGACGGTATTCTTTCAATAGGCTTATAAGCCCCTTACTTTCTTCTTAAAGCTGAAGAGTCCCAGAAATGAAAGTACCGCTCATGATATATGTTATTTTGTCTTTTGGTGATTTTCTTATTCTCTCAACGCCTTTTCTGATAAATGTAAACCCTAATGTAAACCCTAAAACTTCTAAGAATTTAATTTATAAATTTTATTAAATTTAAACTACTATTATTTATTTTATAAAAATAAGTAAATCTTATAATTAAGTAGAATAGTTATAGAAAGCAATATAAAAACATTCTAAAAAATAATAATATAAAATCTAATAAAATAGTATTATATTTTTTTTAGATTAGTAATATTTAATGGAATATTTTATATATTATAATTAGTAACAATAGTATAGTTAATCGCTTTCAGTTAAAACAGATATCTTAATAATTTTAAAAAAAAATATTATTATATAAATTAAATACTAATTAAATTATATACTGTACAGTTATTAATATTAGTATAGACTTTTTTAATATAAAATATCCGTACTAATATTAATATTTTATCGGCAGTTTCTACTTTATAATATAGAACTAAAATAAAGAATTAGTCTTAGTCTATTTTATTTTTTATATTATTTTTTTTAGCTTGTAGTTTTTCAATTTAAACTGATTTTTTTTTTAAAAATATCGGTTGGTAAGATGCTCAGTACTATTATATAAAAAATATTATAAAAATTTTTTAATAGAATTAAAATAATTAATTTTAAAATTAAAAAATTAAAAATTTTTATAGAACTGCAGCTGGTTTTATAACATATTAGATCTATCAGATCTCTATTTATATTTTTATTATTATATATATAAACTTTAATAATAAATAGTAAGAAATACTATTTTATTTTATTCTTTTAACAGCTGGTATATATATTTTTTAATATAACAGCTGAAATTAAGAAGCAGCTTTATAAAATAAATATAAAATTTATAAAAATTTTAATTACTTTGTTGTCGAACTCTTTCTAACTGATTTATTATATCAGATTTAAAAATAATAGTATTTCGAATAAAAGAAAGTATTTATTTAAAAAAAATAAATTATAAATAACTAATATTTTTTTTAATCTGAAGATAATTTTTTAAAATAATAATATTATCTCTGCCGACAGATTATATTTATATAACTTATAGTTTTAAAATTTTTATAATAATTATTATAAAATTTAATTAATATTTTTTAAAAGTTATAATCTAAATTATAAAACTACTTCTAATATTTTTATATATTGAAGAAAAGTTCGAATTACGGGATATCTTTAATTTTAATATTTATTTTAGATTTATTTAAAAAAGAAGAAGTTTTCTGTTATTAATTTAATACTAATTCGGTATTATTATATTAAATTTTCTGTTATAATTTAGTAATTTATTTTTATAACTATTAATAATTTTATAATCGACTAATAATATCTCTAACTGCAGTAAGGTCTTTTATTAAAAAAATCTGATAGTAAAAATAATAAATTATTAGCAGTAGAAAAAAATTTCTAACTTCGAACTGTTATTTAAATATAATAATTACAGTAATATACTATATTCTATAAATAATTAAAAAAAATTAGAATTATAAAAAAAAAGAAGTTAGTTAGATATAGAATAGTAGCAGTCTTATTAATTCTAAAATTAATTCTTACTATTCTAAAAATCTAGTAAGATTTTAGAAATTAAATATTAAAGAAGATCTAAATTATTAATATTATAACCGTTACGCGGAGGATGCGTAGGTAGATTGTTAATAATCTGCTATACTTACGGGGGTTATCTATAACACCATTCTAGTAGAAGATAATATAATAATAGTTTAAAATAATAAAATTTATTAATAAATAAAATCTTAGATTAATTAGACCTAATCTTATTATAGTATGCTATCTATATTTTTATTAATACTATTCTATTTTTTTAAAATAGATAGTTGATTAAATAATTAGATTAGTCCTACTCTTAATTAGTACTAATAATATTCTAATAATAATATTATTGGTTTTGTAGATTAGATAATTACTTTTTTAAAATTCTTACAACTTTTCAAATCTTTAATTCTAACGGCTGAGTCTAGGCTCTTTGTAATTTCCTTTTCTTCTATTTATTTTAATATTTTTTTATATTTTTTCTAATTAACCTTTTTCAGACCTGAACATAGGGATTTTGTATATAGAGTGGTTTATTAAATATAATAACTAATCAGATAGCCAATATAGTCCTACTTAAGTCCTAATTTAATACAAATCAAGATACATTCAGCCAACCCCTGTGGATTAGGAAACGCTGCCTAGACTTGATAGTCTTTTACTGTAATGAATCCAATAGCCAGATCTGGTCCATAAGACCTTAACTAGTGTTAAGAGTACTGGTGGTAGTTAAACAACAGTGAGGAAGCGGCTCCGGCTTAAAAAAAACCATATGAAGGCCCTCCTCGATTAGATCATGTCTGATGTATTTTGCTCGGGCGGTAATGAATCAATCTGACATATTCAGGCAAACAAAGCAGTGCACAAGTTACCCACTAGTGTATCAGTCAGTGACATCTGCTCACAGGATAGAAGGGTATTGCATACGGCTAGGGTTGCATCCTTTGCTTCTTGACTTTTTGTTTTCTTTATTCCTTTCACCAATAGGTCCTTCGTGTTCATCGGAACTATCATTGAGCTCATAGCTTGATCGTTTCTTCACTTTAGTACGATCATTCGTGGGATATCCCTTAACAAGGCCGTCGAATTCATTCAAATTCAAGTTTTGATCCAGCAGATCATCAGGCAATGCACCACGATCAAGTTTATTCTTGTTTCCCGTTGTTGAGCTCCCATCAATAATAGCTTCGATAGAGCGAGCGCCATGCTTGTATTTCTTCACCTTGAGCAGCCCACTGAGTACGTCATGCTCCACACCGGCAAACCCTTTCTGTCTTGACTTTGAATGGATAATAATAGCACGTCGAATCATATATACGGGCTCGTCTCCAGGCAATTTGTCATATCCGGGGATATCAAGGTGTCCCTGCAACCTACTAACAAAGTCTGGCTTTTTGACAGCTCTGTCAGCCTTCGACGCTCTAGCAGCTTCAATGTTCTGCAAAGCCGTGTTGAAACTGTGCGTTGCTGCATGAGATTGATCGGAGCCCCGTCGATCTTGATTGTGCTGTGTTGCGAGTTCTTGCTCTGCCTCTGCTATATGCTGCTGCGCTGACGCTAACCTTCGCTTTGCCTTTGCCATTTGTTGCTCTGCATCCTCAGAATTCTGATGTGCTTTTTGTGCGTCTGCCATTTCTTGGAGCGCTTCTGTCAGCGCTTGTGTTACTTTTTGCTGTGTCATTTGTTGCTGTGCCATTCGTTGATGAGTTATTTCCGAGATATCTGTTGCTGATCCAGCAGAGGGGATGATCTGGATGTTGTCCTTTTTAAAGGCCTCATACGTGTGCGCAGTACCCCCGATAAAGATGAAAATGGCCTTGCCAATTGGCCGGTTATCGCCATGGTCAAAGAAAGTTCCGTCTTGCATAGGAGCCAGAAAATATTTGAGCCATCCTAGTTCTCCACCCAAGGTCGTATCGAACTCATCAAAATAGACAATAGGAACCTGATCTGATACAATTTTGTCGCGAACTTTCTGGAAGGCCACCACGAGGTTGGAGTAGTCCAGGAATTGCGAAAGATTGTAATACATCTCGGGATATTTCTGGGACACTCCGTTGAACGTTATGCCAGACACCCCATTAGTCTCCTCAACGGATTCTTCATCAGCAGCTCCATCAGACTCGTCAACAATGTCTTCGTCGGTCTCTTCTTCAGTCTCTCCCTCGGAGTCTCCACTGGGGTCTTCAACGGAGTTTTTTCTAGTAACCTTTCGAATAATTTGTTTGATCCCATACGATTTTCCAGACCCAGGTGCGCCAAAGACTCCAATAGAAAGCGGTTTCTTCGAGTCGTCCTGAAGATATTCTTCAATTTTGTTTGAAATCGTATGAAAATTTTCAATTGTCGACCTGTCGGCTGCGACAATCTCGCCGAATTTGACAATAGGGACAGATTTCAAAGTCTTCTTAATTCCGCTGTTGACGATTCGTGTAGCGAGATTGAAAATATTGTTTTCCAAAGTCTGGTTAGCAGTGTTTCCTTGTTCCTCACTCTGTTGCAAAATTGACCACTTTTGTTTGTTCGACGGAATTGTGGCACGTCCCAGGTATGGCCCACTTTTCATTTTCGGCTTCAGCTTCGGGTATTGGAGCGACAACTTTGCAAAGTTTTTAAGATCAGGAAACTTCTTTCTCCCAAGAGAATGGATACTGCATAGCCCCCTCTTGATCGCCGGCATTAATTTGTACTTCAGTCTTTTGTTACGTTGAGTTCTTTGCTTCCTCTGAGCCACCATGCTGAATATGAATCCACTTAGAAACGCTGCTTTGACTGCTGAGCGAGGTATAGAGCGCGGTCCAATAACATCACCTTCCCCATTTTCTGAGTCGAAGTAGATTTCGTTTTGTGGTTTCGGGCCTTCCTTGAGAACAACTACACCCGCCTGGCTGAAGCGAATAATCCATTGAATTTTTGTCTTAGTATCGCCCAAGAGTTTGGCAGACTTAAACAGCTCTACCGTATGTGTAGCTGTTTTTTCCCACGATAAATTTCGGCTAATTGGAATCCCATCATCACGTAGGTCATCCGCATCGAGAATGATGACCAAATGTTTCAAGTGTAATTGCCGATTTTGCTGAGAGTAGAGTATATTCTATCTGTATTCTGCACCATGTGCTTGAAACTTCGTGTTTGGTAGACGACAAAAGATGAGATGCAATTATCCAGACATGATCGACTAACTTCCGTGGATAATATTTCCCCTTCGGGGTCATCTATCACCAGGAAAGGAGTTAATATTCTATTCCCAGGTGAGATTTTCTCAGGCTTCTCTTTATGGGAAACGTTGATATTAATAGATGATTGAGGAAGGATCGTATGGTAGGATTGTCGGGACAGAACATTGTATTCATTATTCGCAGGCGATAGATCGGCGAAAGAGAGTATAGTTCCTACTTCTTCGCCATCGGAGCTTTGAGGTTGTTCAAGATCGCGGAACTTTGTTTTTATTTTCAGTTTCCTGCTTTGTTGACTCAGAAATTTGCACAGAAGCATCGGACCACTCTCAATGCCTTGAAGAAAGCTTGTCTCTTTAGTTTTTAACCTAAAGAGGTCAATCCGATCTCGGCCCAATACCGTGATATCCGCTTGTTCCGAGGCCATGATAGGCACCAAATAATTGTATTTGTATCCAAGTTTAGGGTTGGTTGAGAAGTAAGATAACAGTTAGGCCAACATCTATGTTCCTCCCAGACATACAGACTGACCTTTATATTGCAAGGTCAAATCTTTTCCTTGGTAGGCTCAGAACTTGCTTTTCTGTCCCTCCCTCTATTTCGGCCCCGAATCCCACCAATCGAACTCACATAGCCGGGTGCAGCCATGAGTCGTAAGATATGCCTGATGATCACATTAAGAACCTTGGTACATGTAGAACTTTCACTGTGCCTTGTGGCAGCCTCTTTATCAAGTAACGTATCGCCCCTAATGTAAAGAAAAAAAAGGACCCAATGAAATTCACCAAAGGTTTGGCAGTCTTGATAAGATGAAATACAAGAGCTCCATTTTCATTCTTCAGATTGTATGAATAGTACAGAAACTGAAAATATGATTCAGAATAGTTCGAACTTTTTGGAAACCAAAAGAGATCCTATGGAAGACCTTTGCTTGATTGATTCCTCACGTTTGGTTATTGACCAGCCATATAATCTAGCAGTTATGTCGCACTCGTACGCCTTTCACTCAACCAATAGACACTTCAAACAATGTATTAGGCCCTAGGGATAGGAATCATGGTGTCTGAATGATCGTTCGGTTCATGGTGGGTCAGGTTGAACATCTGCGAGCGGCATCTGCGTCCAAAAACACGAAATTGAACAAAGCGCGCATCGGAAAAGCTCATCAGACATTTGGGCCGTGTGGGTCTGGATCTTGACAAACCAAGAATTTTACTAATTCTAATCGACATCTTATTTAGGCTTCTAGCTAAGCGGGCTATGAAAACCTTAAAACAACAATGATAGTAATTTCTGGTCCGCTTCAATCTCTCGATGTTTTGTTTGAAGTTGGTCGAATTGACCTTTGAGTCGAGGGTAACACATGGAAATTCGATAAAATTACGAACTCATTCCAAATTCCGCAATTGAATGGTCTTTCCAGTGAAATAAGCTCCGCCGCAGTATAGAACCAAGCTGAGGTTCTAGACAAGCTCGCCTTTTGACAGGTCTGCCATATCAAAAAACCACGCAACTGCGGTGTATGTTGTATTTGTAATGAGGGCTGTTCTAGGTCACTGCGTACGCGTTTTTGTTCGCTGCACCCGGACTGGTTAGATAATACGACAACATCAAGCAATCACAACAAAGTGTTGGAGCCGCCTATCTTTGTCAGTGGTAAAGGCCTCGCTGGACCGCAGATTCCATAGATTTAGCGCAACACCAGTCACCGGCCCCGGCATCTTGGCCACAAGATGCGTACACTAATTGTGCGATCCTTCGGCATATCAGAAACTTTAGAAATGTCCGATTTCTGAGAGTTCCAGACCTTGCGCTCCAGCGACAGGTCGCCCGAGATGAAAAAACTTTTGTATTGTTGTCTCGATCATCGGGAAGAGTGACAAGCACGCTTTCTCGCGGAGGTGATCCTAGACATCTTCAATATTATTCAATGGCTAGCATATGCTATCGCTACTCCTAGATGCTATCCCTCATCTTAACATCAAATCCCAGTATTCCACCTTGAGTTTGCGGATATATTGTGTATTATACTCATAAGATCACTTCTTACACCGCAGAATAACGCGACTTTAGCTTACATCTTAACTTTATCAATTATCAAAAGACTTTCGTAGCAATATTTCGAAATTATGCCTCGCTTTTCCTCTTTTTCATTTCAGGGCCACGGCGTGCAATAGCGCGTCACCAGTGACCTTCTTGGGCCTGTGTTCTCTTGACCATTAGCTAGAGCTTTAAATGCGTGTATCTGCGCATTCTCTTCGGATGATTGCTTCGTGGGCTGCTTCTTGACCCTCTTTCTATCGTGACGCTCTAAAATTTATTACCACGCATATCTGCGCTGGCTTCTACGCTCGCGTCGCTTCGCTCCTCTGCGCTCTCAGTATATTACGGTTGCACAAAGCTCTCACATCGTTCTTGCCGTAATTGTGGCTGCTAGGTACATCTATCTACAACTATCCAACCACCGCGATGCCCCGCTTATCGATTTACCTATTTACCTATTTACCCGCCTCTTAGAACGCGGCCTATCATGGCTAACAACGCCAGATCCTCACTAAGTAAACATTTTCACGCTATGACTCGATTCCTAAAGAGTAAGAAAGACATCCTACACTTGCATGCTCAGTCAATCGACACGCAACAATTAGTATGCTTAGGAAATACTCAAATTCAATATCACAGGTTTTATTAGTGACCTCACGCACACAAGAGGAAAGGGAAACTATGATTTGGTCGTAACGGGTCATCTGTCGCTGCGGTCATAGACCATAGCATTAGATAGGGCCCATCCGACTTCCTAGTTGGTATCCGTATTGTAGTGGTTTCTATATACAGAGGAAAGCTAGGAGGCACAAAATCGAGACTTGACTGCCTGAGTAATGACGAGATAGCTACAGAGGCAGTTGCGATGGCAGATAGCTGGGTAAAGGAAATGAATCCTTTGCCATTCAGATCACGGGTTAACGTCTCGTCCTGGGGTGAAATACCTTTGAATCCATCGGACAACTAATAGAAGCCGGATCCAAAAGTCGAAGTCGGTGCATAGGAGAAGGCTTTTCGTTACTCTAATGATTAGAATATTGCTGATTTGACTAGCTCGTACAGGATGACTGCAACAATGATATCACTTTACTTCCATGGCACCGCGAGTTTGGTTAACCTGCATGTAGAATGAAAGGAGCTATTAACAATCTTCTCGTACTGCTTTGCAATATGCGAAAGCCATTTAGAAGCAAACCAACCACTTGCCGGTATGTGTTAGTCCAGGATCTTCGATTTCGACTAACTGGACCTACACTGAGATGGGACCAGAACATCGTTTTCCAATCCAGACTCGGTAGGGGAGCGCCTTGCAGCGGTATTCAGAAACCTGAAATACCAGATAGAGATAAATGCCCGAAGATCGCGATACTGCTATCACCCAGTTTGTTGATCTGGAGCCAACATGAGGGTTGGGCAGGCGGGCCTCACTCTCTGCTGACCGAGCTCGTATAATACGGTGATCTAACCCGCAATTGATAGCTATTGTCTGCAAACGGCCGCCTTTTCAACAAGCATTAAAGTCCAGATCCAAGAAGTAGCAGAAATTGTCGCAACTTTATATTATAGGTCTAGAACATTTTTACCCATGGCTCTTCTACAAGGCCATGGCCAGCCTATGATCAACTTCATATAAATCTCGGGTCATTGTCCGGCCTTTGGGGAGTTCTTATTCTACAACAATATCGGAAATCCGTCAAACTCCAGCAGGTCATTTACACGTACCCATCATGAATGCAACCAACGGGCTTTATATTGAGCAGCATCCTTGTGACACCTACCTTGTCGGTTTCTGCCAAAGGCGCGAGGGTGGGTGGAACAAGAGCAAGCTTCGACTGGACTCTTGCCTTGGCGATAATGGCGGTAAGTCTCAGCTCTGCGATTCAAGGGAAGAATCTTTCGCACTGAACGCAAGACAGGCCGCTTCGAGTGGGGAGGAACTGAGTTTACCGAGCAGGCATCGAACATCAAATTCAATCCCGAAGAAGGTGCTGGCCGTAATCCTATTCTGCGAGCTGATCTTCGCGACTCGGCTGGCAACTACCTCCGTAACAGGGATGTGAACCTGGCGGAGAGGATCAACAACTATGATGGGGATCTCCAGTTTCATTGGTAAGTGCAGTGTGACTTAAGCAATCTCATGCCCCGGGCGCGTTAACATATTCGTTAGAAAAACTCCCTCAACGAATTAGTAGTCCGGTACTGTCGTTCATAAATCGGGAATTCCATGCCTTGTTGTTTTCTTTTTTCTGCTTGTAATCGTTCTTTAGGCTCAATCAAACATGTTCCGTGGGCTAGTCTATAAGCTCAAAATCTCTACGAGTTCAATATCACTTGTACGTAGTCACAAATTTTATTCAAAGAATTTTCCCCCGTCCCACAAATATACTTCTACAAGCGGCCAAAGCCGAAGTTACTCCACCCATGACCTCCATGGACCGCTATAATATAGCACTCTGCTGAAAGAAGTTTGCCCCCCACTCATCGTAATTTCTTTGGGACACAGAGACGAGCCCCCGCTCCGTGGCTGGCCGTTCGTATGAGTGAGTCGACAGGAATATCCTGCCCACCTAGAGGGACGTGAGTTATCGCACACGAGGAGGTTGAATCAGACAACCTAAATATGACGTGCCAGCAACAGGTGTCTAGATATATTGCATTTGTGTCTCCCTTTGGATCTCATAATAAATCTGTCGTCTTTGCTCATTCATAGAACCACGTCTTCCGAGGTCCTCCTCACACAAGTGCGTTTCTTATCATGCCAGAGTCGTCGAAATCCTCAAGAAATGGCACCTCGCCCCATAGTTACGAAATCTTTCGTGCCGCCACCGGCGCGTTATACAAAAGGTTGAGGGCCCAAGAGACTCACAAAACCACGCACAATCGTCTTTTTTCCATCGTCTTCAACTTCCTCGCCATACTTCAACTGGTTGTTGGAGCAACTATCACAGCACTAGGGCCATTGTCCGCTGATCACATGGTTGCAATCACCATCCTAGGGGCAATTAATACTATTGTTGCTGGTGTCCTTGCCCTTATGAAGGGACGCGGGCTACCGCAGCGGCTACGAAAGGATTTAACCGAGATCAGAAAAGTTAAGACCTATATCGAAGAGGTGGAGATAAGTCTAAGATACGATGCGGACGAGCAGGTAAATCGAAACGTGATGAGTCTAATCAAAGACTGTTTCAACCGGTACAGGATAATGCAGGAAGTGATCGACATAAACCAACCAGACTCTTATGTCAATGCGCCGCAGCTGGAAAGAGGCAATCAGTCAGGAAGTGTTCGTGTAGTTGATGAGGAAATGGGTATCTTAGCCAGATAATTTATATGATCGTATAGGCTTCTGTATTTTGAATTGTCGGAAGGTTAGCTCCTCAAGGAAGTAACGGGCAAAAGACAGGATACAATACTACTTATTCCTTGAAAGTTCAGCTAGCGATAAGCTATTCTATCGATGATCGACGTCGAACCAGGGAACAAATATATCCGAATCATGAGCCAGAAAAGGGTGGGGGGCCTGAAGTTCTCGAGATCAAGATCTTCTCTGTACCATGTATCTCACATTGCATGGAACTGTCGTACAACACCAAAGAAACGTTTCCTTCATCACCGTTTGCAGACGGAGTCTACTAGCTCCTTGGTAGAGTTTGATACCTATCATGACAAAAGTCAGCACAGTCAGGGTTACATTAATAGAACGACGAGAATACGAGAACTGAAACCAATAACCAGCAAATGTCTATCTTGACTGAACCACAGATCTACATGTTCCTCCTACTGCCCATTCCGTGTTATGACCGACGGTCTTCATTCGTGAGTCGATGTCTACCACTAGCTTTAGAGATCTGGCCTTTGAACAAGCTTTCCTTTAGGAAATCTTTGCGGGCGTCATAAATCTCTTGCTGCCAATGGGTGTAATATTTAGCTTTGCACGGTTCAGGGCAGACTTATAATGCTGTGATTGGACCCAGAACTAGTATTCGTTGAGCGCGGCCGATCTATAGTGGGATCCTCTTAAATAAAAGATTCAGTGCCATATGTTCAAGGCACCCATTCCCGGCACCTACCCCTTCGAATCTCGGTTGTTTATGGAAATGAAAATGTGACAGCAAGTGTGCGTATTATAATGTGTGTAGCTATATGGAAATACGTGGCTGCCTCCGAAAAATAAGAAAGTCCAAGGTTATATTCTTAGAGATATATTTAATACTTTTAATAAAATTTATAAAGAATGATAAACAGTTTATTGGCCGGGGTTGGCTTATTTCTACTTATAGAAATACTAAGCCCGGGTAATAATAACCAGATTGATTATTTATTGATTACTGGACGGTTCTCTTTTATCTTTATATTATCTTTCTTTATATTTTCTACCTCTTTTACTTAGTTAAACAATTAAACGAATGGACGTTTCCGCTCAGTGACCATCTTCCTTCCCCTTGTGTAGCGGTTTTCAGTACTCTGTGGCGACAAATCAGATGCAAATCACGTCGGCACTACGTCATCGATCCGTCTTCTTCATTCCCCGCAAGTTCGAGACAGTACTACAAGTAAGCCTGCCATCCGCGCCTGATGGGTCTACCAGACCAGTGTCAGCATCAAAAGAGAAGCACAATGAGCAGCAGCAACAAATTGCCCGTCACGCCAATACCGCAACCCCGGTGGACGACCACCTCCCGCCAGCCCCGCCCGCGTCTCACTTGGCGCCTGATTCTCTGCAGCGCTTCCTGTCTCTACATGCTCTACGCCCTCTATTGCATCATTTATGGCTTACCAGTCCTTGCCTCTCCACTGCCGTCCTATACCGGCCCCCATGGCGTCGGTGCGATCGATCTAGAAGTGCCTTTACCGGGCGGGCCTCGACGCGTGGCTGAGGCGGTTCACAAGGCCACCGGACAACCGGTCTTTGACGTCGAGACGCTTCTGGCCACGGTCTACTACCCGACCGACCGGCAATTCCGGTCGCGCAAGCCCCGGTACCCCTGGATTCCGCGGCCCATCAGCCTCACTGCCCAGGGCTACGCCCGCCTGGCCGGGGTCGACAACCTCCTCATCCGATCCATTTTCACCGGGGTCCTGTGGGCGGTAGGAGGCGCCGTGGCCATCCCCGCCGAGGTCGACGCTCCGCTTCTTCCCCGTCATTATAGTAATAATACCACCGATGCTTTCCCCGTCACCGTCTTCTCCCACGGCGATGTCAGCTCGCGCACCGATTACACCCAGTTCCTCGCTGAACTTGCCAGTCGTGGCCACGTCATCATCGCCATGGAACACCGCGACGGGAGCGGGCCCGGATCCCTGGTCAAGTCGTCCGCCAGCTCCCCGGGTCGTCCGGTCCCGCCGCTCCGTCTCTCCGATATACAGTCCCCACCAGGGTTACCGACCGATTTCGACCGGGACGACTTCAAACGCGCCCAGCTGGCCTTCCGCGACGCCGAATTTCATGCCGCCGTCGACCTCCTACACGCCATCAACAACGGCACCCCGATCCTCAATACCCGGGACCCCGTCTTCACCCTCCCCTCTTGGACCGGCCGCCTCAACATGACCCATCTCACCCTGGCTGGTCACTCCTTTGGCGCCACTGGCGCCCTGCAAGCCCTCACCACCACGCGCTCCACCTCCCCCGCGGCAGGAGTGATCCTCGATCCGGGCAAGTCCAGCGGTCCCCTCAACCCCAATGTCACCGTGCCCATCCTGGTCGTGCACTCCAACTCGTGGTCCCGCACCGTCAGTCCCTTCTACAACCGCCCGCACTTTGACACCGTCCGCGACCTCGTCCGCGCGGTCCCCGCCCCGTCCTGGTTCCTCACGAGCATCGGGACGGCACATCCCAGCATCACCGATGCGCCGCTCCTCGAGCCGTGGCTTTTCAGTTGGACCACTGGCGCCACCCTGAACGTGCAGGAAGCTCTGCGGGAATATGTTCGAGTAACGGATGACTTCTTCCATTTTGTGCGCGAGGGTGAAGAACGCGGTATATTGGGCGAGAAAGCAACCCACCATCAGTACGATGAGTGGGTGAGTCCGGAGCGGCAAAGGGAGTTCCCGCCGGGTTTGGCGAGACTTTGGCAGGTCCATGTTACGCCCGTCAATCAGACGCGGCCTATGGAGTGTCCTGTAGAGCTTTAATGTGGCTGGATATATGCCAGGCTTGGCGAGGGTTTAAGCTGCAAACCATGTGACCATGGCCACGCACAATCAGGTTTACCATCACTAGTTAGCGCGCTTGTTACAAACATTAGACTAGAAGACAAGCAAGAAAATATCACAGAGTAAGTCACGCAGACCTAATGTAAAGATTAAATGATTCATCTACGCCGGATGGAGGTAGCGAGGGTTGATGTCCCCTCCGATGGCCGCTTTAAAAGGCCAGGTTGAAGATTCAGGCAGCGCCTTATGAGCCATCGCACCATCCTTTTCACCCATGATCTGCGACAACATCGGTCGTAGGTGCCTAAAGGGCGCTGGCTTGTGCGCCCTTGTCTTGCATCGTACGGATTTCATTTCCTGCTTTAATGAGCTCTTCAGCTTGCGCAAAGTATCCCCGACCTCGACAGCGGGAAGTAACCCGAGTGAATACCCTGAACGGGTGGATTCGATTCGTTCAGCAATGCATTGGAGCTCAACTCCATATCAATCACAAAAGCTACAAATTCTTGTTTCATCCCAGCAAAGCCACGGGTCCTCGAGACTAAATCCCCCGAGCATAACTCTCCAAATACTCCGACAGCGCGCTATCTACCACCATCCGTGTCAGCCACTTGCACAAGGAACACTAGATCATGACCTACATTTGTTGACATCGTGCCTGATATTCAGCTCCATATACTCCGGTCGGTGCTGCCAATCAAAATGTTAGGACATAATCCTGTCGTGAGTGCTTCTCAACATGATCAAAGCTGGGCACTTGGAAGAAATATCATCGTACAGCAACATTCGCGCCCCGGACCAGCCAGTCCTGGACAATGCGCGCGTCAGCGAGGGTCTTCTCCCACGCCCCCGCCAGGATCACCAAGGCCGTCTCGAACCGCGTCAACGAGTCATGGCCGAAGTCCTCCAGCTCGGCGCGCGTGCGGCGGAGGTTCTCCAGTTCCGTCTGCAGTTTCCCCTTCTCCTGCGTCTTGAGGTGGATCCGGTAGTTCGTTTCTTGTTACGGAAATTGCGGTTAGTGCTTGCGTCCACCGGGGGTTTACGTTGGGGAAAGGGCCAGCCCGTACTGGATATGCCAGCCGCGAGACCGGCGATAGCGGCGAAAGAAGCGAGGGCGGTAATCACGCCACCGAGCTGGATATTCAAGATGGAACATCAGCGATCGAGCATCTTTGGGATGGCTTACTACGTACCATGATCCACGGCGCGAGGGCGGGGAACATCTTCACAAAGGTCCCGGTGGCGGGAATTGACGCGCTGAAGACGACCTCGAAGGCGCGAAGGGAGCTCTCGAGCCGATACAGCTTTTTGTGCAGAGCGTCGAGCTCTGCTCGACAAGGCAGATTTGCTCGGTGATCTCACCTTCTTTGTCCTTGGCCCAGGTGGAGAAGGAGGCGACAAACGTGGCGAAGTCGTCGGTCACGGAGCGAAAGCCATCGGCGATCTTCTGGGCATTACTTTGGAACGATGTAGTTCGCTAGGATGAGCCAGTCGTGGCGATTAAAACCAGGATTGCGTTCTGCGTACCTCTATGTACATCTTAAGAGTAGTTCTACGCTTCTGGAAGGCGATGCTCTCGTTTGCGCAAATCTTGATGATACTTTCGTCGAACCCTTGACCCAGCCTTGTTAGACTGAGCCCTAAGACGACTCAGAACGGGACTCACGCCTAGACTGTACGCTGACCGTGGCCGCAAAGTCGAGGTCCCGGTGAGCACATCTCGGTACGCATGGTGGAGTTTGATGATCTCGGGCTCGAATCTAGAGTGATGGATCCGATCGATTTGCGCAATGCGTATATGCAAGCCGGCAAAGGTGTTCTCAATGTCGCGGGTCGCCTGGGTGGCCTCGTCGCCGGCGCTTGCGAATCGAGTTTTGCCCTCCGGGGAGGACAGACATTGGCCGCATCCCACCGCGAAATCCGTCTTTTGCTGGTCGGTCTCCAGGGGCCAGTGGTCGTCGGCGCCGTTGATCAGGATCTCGATCTCGGCGTCCGATAGCTTGTCCATGGCGACGATGACTCTGTCGGGCGTGGCATCGTCGCCGACAAGGTCCTCCAGTTTTGCGGCGACTTCCTCGTAGGAAGGAGGGGGGTCTCTCGCTGTGTATGTTGGAGATGCGACATCCATCATGATAATTGTGTTTCAACTGCTAGCCCAATGGGAAAGCGAACATAGTCTTAACATGTACAGTACAGCGGGAACTGAAGGTCGACTTTGCGCCCATATGTATAAGAGATATAGCCTGTAGCACCACGGAGAACGTCGGGGTTGCGCAGCTGAAAGGCCGGTGGTGTATGCAGAGCTTATGCAGCGAGCGTAAGCGTCCTGCACCCTGAGGTCATCGTTCCCAACACGCTGATCGAACCCCGCTTTTCTCGCTGAATGGCAAAGAAAGGCTCCTCGCACAGAGTCAAATACCGGTTTACTTGTACTACACCACTCTAAATCCGCCCCTCTCACATGTTCGCGCCGGGGAATCCACTCCAGATAAATTGCTTCAAGTTGCAACACCTGTCCACCAATATCAACCAAAGCCTTGTGACCCTGTCCATCTGAGTAACAATTATTGTTCGTACGTACAGTATACTGTCTCATATGTCGTCATCAGAGCTTGCGTATCCGGAAGCTTTTAGATATAAACATCCATGTTCCCAAAGACAAGCAGAATCCTCCCCACCGGGGTTTAGCAACCACACTCACGATTGACGCCCATGATGTCCACCACGGTCCCCCCAGCCTACGAGCCGCACAGCTCCCCGCCCTCCTACGACTTCCTCGTCGACAAAGTCTGCCAGCTGGTCGGGCCGGACCCAACCCGGCAGAAGTCCATCGATGCCGCCGCCACGCTCTCCGATAGTGAGAATAAGATCCTCAAGGACGGCGGTGATTTCAGCGACCCAATAAAGAACGAACACGACAACAAAGTCTTCACCACGGGCGCAGCGAAAGGTCTGGCGTCACCCGAGTGTGCGGAGCACCTGCAGCCGGTCAGTTTTCCACCAAAGAGAGTATGGAGTCTCAATCAAAATTGAGACGACTAACTACCGAGTCGCAAATCCGCACCAAAGAGCGGCAGAAAGCCTCGCTCGAGAACCAGATCGAGCAGATCCGGCTGGCGCGGCAGGAGCTCATGGACGCGGGCGATGACAAACTCGAGGCCTTCCGCGTGAACCTCAATGTACTGCAGTCGGTCTGGACCAGTGTCGCGGCAGATACGCGGATTATCTCCAGGTATCTGGATGACGCGCTGGACAATACAGTGAGTGTCCAAGATGTCTGACTGGGAAAGGCATATTGACCATGTCGCTCCTAGGATATTCCGGAGTGGATGCAGTGGGAACTGGAGAATGCGAACTCGATTTGTAAGTGCCTGTCTTGCCGCGAAGACTGGTAAAGGTTGACCTAAAGATGTATCTAGACAAGCAGATGGCGGAGTACTTGACGAACTATGCGAATGAAACTCCGAGCTAGGGGAACCAAGCTCTTATGTATCATGCATTTGCTCAACACCATCGCACTGTTACTCGCGCACAGATAAATCAGAATGACGGTATATTTGTCGTACTTGGTGTACTCGGTGCATCCTACCCTCCAGACTGCTCGGCGAAAAAAGCCTATGTTTAGGGCTGTTGCGCGCTAGCCCGTAGGTGTGCGCCTGAGGCTATATCCCACACTTCTGCCCCCAAGCATTGTAGCTGTCCCCATATCGTCATCGCTATCGACGGTTTACTTTCCAGAAGGATCGGGGTGTGTGTTGCGACCGATTCCTTGTTCCGTAGCCGCGTTCTCAACATGTCAGGCTTGTTATCCTTGGGGCACAGGTTCGAAGAACACATGATTATGCATTAATCTATATCAAAAGGTGTAGTAGTTTTATAAGACTTATGTTGCACTAGTATAGAAAATATATTCGTCTTCTACTGGAGAAAGTTAGATTTGTAATATAACTTCCAATCTGACCTGAACGAGCAAAATTCTCACTCGTCACAACAGTGTCTCCTCGGAATTCGCTTCAAGCCTCATGCCGTCAGCCCAAGAAGAAGGGAGCATTTACCTTCTTCGTGTGGCCAAGGCCCTGAATGTCAACAGTCATCGCACTGGACCTTGCCCGAGATCTCCAGTCTCTCATCCGTCACCAACATTTCCAACATTCAGATCCTCATTTATATCCTCGTCCCTATCCTCATCCTCATCAGCGTCCTCTATTGTCACCGTTCGACGTCGCGAACTCTTTTCTTGGCGTCCGAGCTCATCCGCGCCCGAGCCCGCAGTGCCAAAGCTCTCACCACTACTGCTATCCTCGTCATCGTCGCTTAACAACCGGGTGGGAGGAATGGAACCGATGGAGACCGCAGGAACAGCACGTGAGAAGACCGGGTTATCACTGCTGCTGTTGCTGCTGCTAATCGACAGCGAGCGCTGGCCGGTAAAGGTCGGGCCATATTTGAGTGCAGACTTGGTGGAATTCGGCGATAAGGTGAGGGTGATTGGTCTTTCCCGAGGCCCAAAGTCGAGCCCGTACATCCGATCAATGCCTTTCCTCAACCGATCTTGGATATATTGAGGAAGGAAGGCGGCATCGCCCGCTGCCGCTTGTTGGAGGGTGCGCGAGTGCACCGCGCGATCCTGGTGATTCTCAGCGGCCAGGAGAGCCCGCTCAACGGTGGCAATAGACCACGCAGTCAGGCCAGGGAAGGAGAACGACATCCGGGTGGATGGCGTGAGCTGCAAGTCCGCGAGTAGTGACTGACGCAGGAGCGACGTGTTGGTGAAGAGGAACTTTGCCAGGCAAGTTTTATGGTAACTGAAGCGATCGCCCTGCGTTGTGATCTGTAAATCTGCGAGGTGTGCCAGCTGCTGCATGGCGCCGAGCGGGGAACAATGATGAAGCAATTCCGCTCGACAAAGGGCCTCAGTCGCGTAGTCGCCGAATCTATGCATTCTAGAGACGGCGTCATAGAGTTCGATGTGCGAAGAAGTGGTAATGCTCGCCTCGGGGGTCCAACCTGGATTCTCAGTCTTAATTGGTAGGTATATCGGCACTGCCCCACTCCAGATGGTGAGCCCCGGAAACTTTGAGAGATGATTCTCTAACCCAAAACTCATCTTGCCTTGCACCCGGCGCTTTCTTCCAAACTCGGCCTTGACAGTCACCCAGCGGTAATAAGACCTAGTTTGCTCAAGCTCTGCGTGGTTGTCCCGGAGCATGGCGACCAGGGGTTCGGCGTGCTGAAGGCTTCGGTGAGCGACGGACAGGTCATGCTCACTGGGGGTCGAAATTGCATACAAGAGGAACTGTTGACTAACAGTGACAAGTATGTCTAAGAGGGCGAGAGCGGTGGGCTCGTCATACTGCTGGCTGTTCCAGTCATCTAGCAGGCGACTGAAAGAATTGTGGGCGAAAATGCTGAGGTCAAACATCCACTTCCAAGTTTCCGTCGCGCCATCTGCTTCAATGGAAGCTATCATGAGGTCGCGAACATCCCAAACCCTGCCTTCTGCCAGCAGAATCTGGTACAAGTCGGTGCCATTCGACCAGAAGTCAAAATGATGTTCCGGAATCAAATTTGAATCCCTCTCGACTTGCGAAAGAATCTTGAGCGCATACCGAAACACCTGCACCTAAACGAGCTCATTACTACCGGGGCGCCATAACCTTTGGGTGAGATCATTGCGGGGGTACCTCTGCAGAGTCCAGGGGAAGATGCTCGCGTCGGCGATGTCGCCGCAGCTTGCGCATCGGAGTCTCCAGTGCTCGTACGCTCGCGTACGCTTCTCTCATACATCCCTGGGACTGTATAGCCGCGAACGCTTGGATTAGTGCCAAATTAGCTTGGTAAAGAAAGGCGGACGGCTTTTCTGTCACGTTGGCGGCCTGGAGAGAAAGTTCCTGCCTATGTCGAGGAAACTTGCAGTGGCGAACGCGCTCATACAGACCTTGTTCAACCAGCATGTCGGCATATTCGAGCGCAACTGGCAGTAAGCTCTCAAACTCCGCAAGAGACTTTTGAAAGAATTCCTCGGCCAATTCAAACCTTCCCAGGCGTTTCAGTCTCGCGAACTCTTCTAGCAGACTAGGCACGTCATCGACCACGTCCAGTTCGTAGTGAATCGTGATATCTTGGGCGGAGTATGGCGTCCAAATTGCCTGAGGGTGTCGGAGGACGAACTCGTCGTTGTTCCCATTGAGGGCATCCGTCTCTCTTTTAGTTGAAGCCAACTCTGATGCGTCTTGTTTGAGGCGTATCAGCTCGCGATCGTGGGTGGCGTTGAGGCCATTGTCGCCAGAGTGACCTGGGAGGACCAGCGCATAGCCTTCCGTGTCCTGAGAGCCCTGGGCGGGGAAATTGAAGGTGCGACCTGGTGCGGATTCCCGAGAATTAGGGAATAATCTGGACCGATGGCCAGCCATTCCGAGTCACTACAAAGCTTGATCTACGATGAGAGATGAAGGCTACCAGTGAGTGCAGAAAGCACTGTATCTGGGAAGGTGATGAGAAACCAGAGACTCAAGCGAGCGCTTAAGAAACGCCGGAATCACACGTCCCATTGGGCATAACGCATTGCTGGATTAACATTTATGCCGCAAATGTAACCCCGCATGCATGAGTCAATAAGCGAACATGGATAGCCGAGCTAAGCTAGCCTGCTGACGCGTGGCTGTGGCAGTGCTTAGTGACCCCTCTCCTCTCCTTGCTTCTCTACTGTTTGTTTCCCTAACCTACTGTCCACCTCTCTTCCTTGTTGTGTCCTTAAAACTTATACATAGCACAGCGACTGGCATTGGTGTAGGTACTCGTGTACTGTGGTCCTACCCCCTTTGCGTAACATCTCCCAATGTCCCAGCCCCTCCATACCCCGCAATCACCAGCAGTCACATACTCTCGGCGGTACGGTCGCTCTTATCAAGGCTTGGACACAGTGGATGCCAATCTCTGCTATCGGAAGGTTGGCAAAGTGAACGCTGATTGCCGTCTCCGTGTCTCCAAATCGCAATGGGGGCAGCTAGGAGAGCAGAACACTTCCGCCGGGGTGGTTTATATGGATCTCACTTTCGATCAATCGCCCCTGTGTGTTCTCCGAAGCGCCAGTGTGACAATATCGCTCGAGGAGATCACTAGCAGTCGCCGTGCGCCGACCGATGACCGCCGATTCTCTCGGCGGCGCCGTCAGTCGGAGATCCATCTCCCAGACCCCCTGAATCTCCGGATGACGGACTATTACGGCCCCAAGAGCTTAAGTGGAGAGCCTTCCCGGGTGACGGTCAAGAAAGCACTGAATCTTACCCCGGAAGTGAACGTGCTGGGCAGCGGTGGCGGGGGGTTGGGCATGAACAAAGAGAAGCAGACCAGCTACGAGAGTCGGTGGTCGTTCACCGGCCTTCTGTTACCCACCCCGCCGCGCTCGGCATATCGCACGTTGAAGTGGGAGTTTCACGAGAGTGATCCCGATCACCAAGCATTGCGCAGAAAGATATTCCACACCGCGTTTGCCTTCCACCATGACAATCAGTCCTTCCACATGAAGGTCGAGATTCAGGGCAAACTTCACCGCCACCGAGATCGTCTGAAGAATCGCGTCCGCCAGATGAGGTTTCCCGATCCTTTCAAGCAAGGCCAGGGAGTCAGTGAGATTCTCGTCCATCCCAGTAGCAGGAAACAGTTACGCCCTTGCCGGCTGGATGCTCTTGCTCAAGGTCTGCCATACGCGATGGAGCAAGAAAACGCGTTGCAAACATCGGTCCAGCTTCCGAGTGCCCTGCCGGTGTCTTTTCAGGATATGAGTGCAGGGCACGGCCTTGGTAAGGCCACTCGACCAGAGCCCCAAATTTTGTCCTCGGCCTCCACTTCGATCCCCAAGGGCGATGAGTCCGGGACGCCGCCTCCTGGGACCAATTCAGTCAACAGGAGTAGTAAGGCCACCGCTCACAGTCGATCGATTGTGGTTGAATCCTCGCAGGCTTCATCAGGATCAGTGTCAGAGTACAGCAACGTCCCAAGTACTGCGAAAGAGACCGTAGACATTCTCTCGCAATTTCCACTCTTCCTGGTCATCGTGCGTATGTTTGGGAGTCTTCTGATTTTCATTGTGGGGAAGCATCAAAGCGAGCAGAAACAGGTCCAGGATGCCAGGGATCACGACTTAACTCGGGGCAGGAGCAGGCTGTTGCTGCTCCCTTCGAGTGAGCAAGACACCGGGGATGATGCCGATCAGACCCACCATGTTGTCCGTACGGACTAAGCTCAAGTAGGTAATATGTACTAGGGACTCGACCTTTAAAGCCGATTGGTCTATTGATTGGTCTATTAGCATGAATGCATGCAAGTCTCGTCACACTTATGCGTGTGACTCAGTTCAGGTTGCTGTGTGTTGTTTCCGTCCCCTCCCTCCCTAGGAGCGCGTATAAGCCCCTCGTGGGCCTGATTAGAAGTCCTTTATTACCACGCAGACTTCACATTGTCATCGTCATGGAGATCAGGCCACGTCTGTTGGTGAGTAGGGAGGCAATTGACAGCGATTCCGAATCCGAGGCAAGGCATCACCATCGACGGCCGCGCGCCAGCCTTGATGATGTTGAGCAGACGCCAGTCAAGACAGCGCAGAAGGGGAACCAGCCTAGCAGCAGGAGATCGGTGACGATTATCCAAAACGATGCGCCCACCCGTTCCACCCCAGAACGTCCACGTCACCGCAGTCGTGGACGAAAACGAACATCCTCTCATGGTAAAACCTCAACAAAAGAGCAAATCAAGCGGCTGGTCGATCTCGACTATCTCAAGGCCATTGACCACGCCGGTGACATCGACGATAGGATCGCCAGGTTCCTCCGATTTGAAAAGGCACAGAAAGAAGAAAACAAGCAGAAGGAACAGGAGGAACAGGAACTAGAAAAGAAGCTCCAAGACCTTTCACGGGAGGCTGCTGAGAAAGAAGCGTTGGAGCGTAAGGCACGGGAGGAAAAGTTGGATTCCCTCGAACGCAGGCTTGAAGACCAAAAACGCCGCGAGGAATTAAGAAATGAGATACGCAATGAGGAGGCACGAAATCTGCTAGCAGAACAAGAACGCACGGCTCGCGAGGCGGCAGTCAAAGCCGCTGCAGTGGAAGAATACAAGCAAGCTGAAGTGCGCCGACGCCTTGAGGAAAAAAGACTTCGATCCCAGATATGGCAACAGTGTCGCGCTCAGATCGAGGCAGAGCTTGGCTATTCTCTCCCTCATGTCAAGTCCATTCTCGATGACTTAATCGTGCTCCGGCGGCCAGGTGGAATTGAAAGAGCGGTTCCTCGACGACGGCGATCGTCGTCGTTGACAAGTGATGCAGATGATGAGGACTCAAGCTAATGCCAGTCTCCTTTGTCCTATCAGTTTAACTATGCTTGCATGAGGCTGGGCGTCTCCTGCTGGGATATATTTGTTCCCGTTGCTAATTTAGTAGAAACTGTTGGCTGCCCTAAGGCTTAGATAGCCAGGCTGCTTACCATGCCCCATGTTGTTAGTCTCGCTCAAATGACCTCACGTAGCCTGAATCGGGAATTAATCAATCATCCACGTCCCCCGCAGACCTCGCTCGTCCTGTCTGTTGCTGCAGCTCAGACTTTGCGAGAGACAAAGAAGATATAAAATTACCATCAGTGCCAGTAGCTGAGTCGCCTGCCACCTATTCTTATTTCCCCCTTCCTTGTCGAGCGTCTGTGCTTATCACGCTTATGGCAAAGCAGCTCACCGGTACACAAAGTGAGCGCCGGTCTTTGTGCCAAGGATTATCCAAGGGACCTTGTCCTCTCCACCTGTTCACACATCGGCTGCCCAGAAGCACAATGGATCGTGACAAAGCATTGACTGTCAGGTCTGACAAGCTGCCTGTTTCGGTTCCTTCAGGTCATAACCGCCCGCCCCATCGCCATTTCCCGCGCGTAAGACATGTAAGAAGTACGTCTCCACTCATGAGAGATGAAATTGCCGAGTTTCCTGCTCAGTCTCTATGTTTCATGTCATCGTACCGCCTAGCCCATGCCATCATGGATTCATTACAGGACCTGATCAAGGAAGTCGAAGTCTTGCAGATGGTGTCCAGAAAGACCAACACAGCCGGTATACGACAGATTACTGGGACAGCGAGAATATCCGGGATCGAATTAGGCGATGCGTGACGGCAGGGTGTCCAGCCTCCCGGCGCTGTGGAGACTGCTCGAATCTGGCTTGCTATTATGATGTTGGCACTCGGCGTCCCTTCGCTGGTTGAGAACCAGGGACAGGAGTACCAGTTCAGCGCCGAACACCACGAACGCGCACGTACTGAGGGGCAGAGGAACCTGTCGTGTGTGACAGTCGAAATCTCTCGTCGGCCACAAAACCAGTCTCCACAGCTGCCTCTGGTCCGGGTCTTCTGCGTGGACGAAAGGGAAGATGTGAAGAGGACTTATTTTACAGAACTGAGGCCCAGGAGTTCGCGGATGAGCACCTGTCGGGAGCAGCCAGGCAGGAAAACCTCGCATTTATTCTGGTCGAAGGTCATCTAATGTCCATGGTTGCGTGGAAGATGAAGCGCAGAACGAGAAGATGATCTGTCCCTTTGAGGAACAGAGGCAGATGGATTACTTCTGCATCTGGCATGACCATCTGGTTGTTGAACAGATTTGGAAGAAGCTGCGTCGAGTGCCCATGGCACTCCCGGTGCAAAGCAACCTCGCACTGCTGCAGATGGCTATGATCTTGATTATCCTTGCCGACTGTAGACTGTTGAGAGTATCGAGCAGGTAAATTCACACTATCTAATCTCAAATAACAATCAATACTTGGAGGTGAAGATGGGCAGCGGTGTTAAATAGTCGAAGCCTAGGGCTTGAATATATCTGTTTACCCTTTTACGGAGCATTTTACTTGGTCACTGCAAATCTTATATATATGAAAGTCTAAATCGGAAATACATTCAAGGATGTGGTAGATAGTATTGCCCTCGACCAGCAACCCCCGAATCAGCCCGTCCGTCGTCCTCGCCGAATCCGCGCTCCCGTCAACGGGGGTCACTGAATGACTCAGTGACTCCATAATGTGAGGCTATAAATCTCTACTTCCAATCCTCTCACAACATCCGGTGCTGTGGTCTAGTGGTATGACGTCACGTTGTGGCCGTGCCAGCCCCGGTTCGATTCCGGGCAGCGCCACTCTTTTTGGCAGAGAGGGCCCTCTCTCATCCTTTTTGGGTTCATACCTGGTTGAGGTAAACCCGACTCAAAACGTATGGGATGGGCAGGAGCATGTTTGACTGAAGAAGCATTTCGAGGCACTACCGAAGTATACCTGCGGCCGACGGTCTCTTTCGCCTCGTACTGATAGCTGGTTATGTTATGTGGAGGCTCCTAACATGCGCTGCGGATCTCGCGGAGCATTAATGTCGATCCCATCAGTACGTTCTTGCATTGCATTGATTTGGGCTATCTTGGGATAAGAATGGTATACAAGTCCATGAAGAGCACAATCAAGTAAGAAACACTGTTCATCTCCATAATACAGTGAAGCAGCCTAGAAGAGACCGACCCAACCTCAGGCGTCCGTCGCACAGGCCACCCAGACCGTCGTAGTGGAATAGATGGTCGAAACAACCTCATCTGCCACTTCAGTCGCAATCACTGTCTTTATAGGCTGTACACCAGCAGTCATGGCTTGAGCAGCTGTGATCGGGCAGACGGTGGTGGAGACCAAGATAGTCTCGGTGGTGAGGTAAGTGGTTCCGATCACTGCTAGCACAGTGGGCTGCACTCGCCGAGCAGCCCGTCACCGTGGCAGTCCGGGTGCTGAAGATGCTCGAGGTAGTCTCCGTGGGAACCGGACTCGCGGTAGCCTCGGCTGCCGTGACCGGGCAAATGGTCGTTGAGACGAGGATTGTCTCAGTAGTGGTGTATGTGGTCCGGTCGGTAGCGGCGCAACGCGAGGCGTTCGAGGGGCATCCGGTCAGGGTAGCGGTGCGGGTGGAGAAGATGCTGGAGGTAGTCTCGGTGGTCACCGGCGCCACCGTTGCAGTAGCCGACACAGCGGTGACGGGGCAAACGGTCGTCGAGACAAGGATAGTCTCAGTGGTAACGACTGTAGTCTGAGCTGCAGCCGCACAGGTGGAAAGCCTGGATGGGCAGCCGGTGATCGTCGCAGTGCGAGTACTGAAGACGCTGGAGGTTGACTCGCTGGCTCCGGCCGTCTCTGTGGCCGTCACGGGACAGATCGTTGTAGATTCCACAATGGTCTCGGTTGTGAGATAGGTGGTGCGAGCGGAGGCAGGGCAGCTCGTCACCGTGGAAGGACAGGCAGTCACCGTCGAGGTGCGCGTCGTCAAAACCGTGGAGGTAGTGAGGTCTACAGAGAAGAGGCTGGTGAGAGAAGTCACCGTCGGTATGCTAGACCCAGAAGTTATCGTGACTGCCGACGCAGCTGTAGTACGAATACCGGCACCGGAGATGAGAGACGAAGGCGGCAGAGACAAGGAATCGACAAGGTGGCTAGATGCTGCCGTTGATTCACCTGCAGAAGGGATGACGGCATGTGAGCTGGAGAACGCTTGCGCAACTGGCACTGAAGCACTCGCGGACGACCGAGACAGAGGATTGACTGGCTGGCTTGATGTTGCTGTGAGTGCACTCGAAGACGGGATGCTAGCCTGGAAGCTGGAGATGCCTTGCGCAACAGGCACTGGAACACTCGCAGAAGCGACCGTCTGGAACGATGAGGATGGCCGGATAAGCGGGATAGACGACACCGGCCTCGATGACTGAGAAGTTGCAACCA